GGGGGTATGACGACATCCTGAGGGGTGCCCTCGCCCAGCAACCCCGCGGACGCACACACGGTAAATGTTTATCATAACGGGGCTCACACTGTTCGGAGAGCCCAGCGGAAGCCGAGGAGTGTGTTGGGTCTGCCCTTGCTGTATGCCGTTGCTCTTGTTGGATGGTTTAGGCCCTTTGGGATCCTCCTTTCGCCCGCATTGTGTGACCGGGCCCAAGTATACAACACTCATCTCAGTCCTGGTCGCGGTCGAGATCGTCGTCGGCGCCATTGTCGCGGTGTGCGGCCCACAAAGTCGTCACCCACCAGCAACAGCTTGACGGACGGCCCTGCAGGGTGCCTTCTCGTGTGGGAACAGGAAGGAAGCTTATCGCTGTGCCGTGCCACCTCAGGAGCGCGGAGGCTGTGTCGAAGTAGTACCAGGGCCGCCAGAAAGTTCTGCTAAAACTCGCCGGAGCACACCCGTGTGCAACGGGTGCGTATCTCCGCCTGCCTACTAGGCAACATCTGAGCACGCGTGTTGGGGGGGTTGCCTCGGTTTGCCTAGTGGGCAGGCGTCGGTACAACGCGCTGCAAGCGGGTGTGCTGCGGCTGTCTTTTTTTTTTCGACCACTTTTTTTCTGGCAGCTCCGAGTTGAGTAGTACTGTGCGTGTGTAGCAGAGGGCCCGGGTCACTTCACTTTGAGACCTGAGGTCATGACAGACCTCTGTTGTCTGACGTCCGGGACTAGTCTTGTGCTTGCACGCTGCCAGCCTATAGATCCGCCTTTGGCGCCTCCAGACGCTCGGTAGGCCTATTCGGCCATCTGACCGGGCGTCTTCCTGGGAGCGCCTCCCTCGCCTCCCTCGCCTCCCTCGCCTCCCCCGGGGCCCGGGCCGAGCCGGTGGCGCTCCCGGCGCCCTCTCGCCTGCATGACTTACTTTACGCTCGCATCGCATAATAGGCGCGTCCTTGTGTGCCGTTAGCTTTTTGTTACCTGGCGGGCCGGGATAGATCAGGACAGGACACAGCGGCGTGCTGTGCTGCACTTTACTTGTCGCCCTCGTGTCCTCCTACACTCCTCATACATTTCTAGCCAGTCGCTTGTGGCTGGCTGTGTCCTCTGCGTCACGACTCAAAACAGCATGCTATGTGTCCGGCTTTTAGCTGGCGTACAGACTGAATAATATCAACGAACCGTCCTGATTTGTAATCACAAAATCGATGCCCACACATAAGGTCCTTGGGGCCTCAATCTCCCACAATATTGCCTCTACGACTAATATTATTCGATTGTTTTACTTCCAATTTGCCGCAAAAGTCTTTCACAGATTATACACGATGATGCATCACCTTGTATGTGACGGTTGTATGGTCCCGACAGACGGAGCCGATGGCGCACGCCGCACGTGGCGACCACACAGTGTACACAGTGCACATAGAAGTGTTGCTGCTCCGCCCCGCGCGCTGCCAAGTCTGGGGCGGGACCCGTAAAGTTTACTGCCGACCCGTGCAACAACTGTTGACTTTCCTCTGCTCTTCCCCATCTTCCCCTCAGTTAGTTTTCCGATGATTTTTGTTTTGTAAAACAATTGGTGTACACATTCGTGGTGCGCATCTCTTGTTGCGGGGGCACAGCACGGGG